TCTTTTTTCTCAATAGATTTTAGACTGTGTTAGTTAAAAATCCATACCGTGTACGGGTTCTGGGAAGTCGGGGGGGAGGAGGAGGGGGTTGGGGGGGTGGAGGGAGGGAGGGGCACACAAACAAAAAAAATTGTACTTCAATGTCTTAATGATTGACAAATGATGAAATATTTGTGTGGTTTTTTTTAAGAAATAAAATAAATATTTGAGAACAAAAATTGTACTGTGTTTCCCCAAAAACAAGACAGGGTCTTATTTTCTTTTGACCCCCGAAATAAGCACTTGGCCTTATTTTTGGGAAGGTCTTATTATTTTTGATGTATAGGAGGCGGCGAGCATGGTCACCTCATGGCTGCTGCTGTGTTGCTATATTTCGGGGAGGGCTTATTTTAGCGCATGCGCTTAAAAGCCTGATTGGGCTTATTATTCGGGGAGGTCTTATTTTTGGGGAAACAGGGTAGAAATGATTTTAGGAGAAGCCCCCCTACACTACCACCACTCATAATACTAGACAACACAGTAGCAACAGTGGAGACCTTCAAGTTTCTAGGTTCTATTATATGTCAAGACTTAAAATGAATATCTGTTCTGATCCACACACACACCCCAGCCTGTGAATAAACCAGAACACAAGCTTGGCCGTTTGCCATTGTTCAATTACTGAGATAACGAATCCTTTGGCTGGGGGCCCAGGTAACTCACGTTCAATAGAGTAGCTCTGCAGCAACCCAGATAGTTCAAACGAAGCAATGCAGCTAGTCCAAACGAACAGACACGACTAGAATATACAGATAGATTTTCTTAACTACTAATTCGAAAGGTTGTTTCCTGCAAATGTCCCCTCCTAACGCTTCACCTCCCAATCTCTCTTGGGAGGGGCCAATCAACAACCACCTGTGCTTAATCATCTTCTGTGAGCCTGCCTTCGGAGTTGCTGCTGCCGTTTCTCAGCCTTTCTCAATCAAGCATCAGGGACAAACTGCCTTTGATCCTCCCCACTGATCCATGCCTCAGGCGCCTCCTGGTGGCCAACCAGCCTCTCTGGTCTCTGCTCTGAGTCTGAACCCTGCCCAGTGTCCTCCACATTGTCCAGGGCAGATTCATATGGTTCCACGCTATCCGAGCCCATCAGCAGCTCAACCGGATCCTGCTGGGCCACAACAGACACCCAACGTCAAATATGTCATCAAAAAAAGCACAACAAAGAATGTTCTTTCTGCGCCAACTCAGAAAGCTCAAACTGCCCTAGGAGCTGCTGATTCAGTTCTACAAAGGAATTATTGAGTCTGTCATCTGCACTTCTATATAGGTGAAACTCGAAAAATTAGAATATCGTGCAAAAGTTCATTTATTTCAGTAATGTAACTTAAAAAGTGTAAAACTAATATATGAGATAAGACTCACTACATGCAAAGCAAGATAGTTCAAGCCATGACTTGTCATAATTGTGATGATTATGGCGTACAGCTCATGAAAACCCCAAATCCACCATCTCAGAAAATTAGAATATTACATGCAATCAATAAAACAAGAATTGTACATAGAACAATATCGGACCTCTGAAAAGTATAAGCATGCATATGTACTCAGTACTTGGCTTGGGCCCCTTTTGCAGCAATTACTGCCTCAATGCGGCGTGGCATGGAAGTTATCAGCCTGTGGCACTGCTGAGGTGTTATGTAAGACCACGATGCTTCAATAGTGGCCTTCAGCTCTTCTGCATTGTTCGGTCTCATGTCTCTCATCTTTCTCTTGGCAATGCTCCATAGATTCTCTATGGGGTTCAGGTCAGGCGAGTTTGCTGGCCAATCAAGCATAGTAATCCCACAGTCATTGAACCAGGTTTTGGTGCTTTTGGCAGTGTGGGCAGCTGGAAAATGAAGCCAGCCTCCCCATAAAGCTCGTCTGCGGAAGGAAGCATGAAGTGCTCCAAAATCTCCTGGTAGACGGCTGCGTTGACCCTGGTCTTAATGAAGCACAGTGGTCCAAAGTCCTATTGCTCCTTGGTCCAAAGTCCTCTTTTCTGATGAGAGCAACTTTTGACCAAAAGCACCCAAAACTGGTTCAATGACCGTGGGAATTACTGTACTTGATTGGCCTCTCCATTCTTCCTCCATACTCTGGGTCCTTGGTTTCCAAATGTGATGCAAAAGTTGCTCTCATCAGAAAAGAGGACTTTTTTTTTCTTTTTATGTACACTGAATGCATATGCACCAAAGACAAATTCCTTGTGTGTCTAATCACACTTGGCCAATAAAGAATTCTGTTCTGTTCTATTCTATTCAAAACATTTGTTAAATGAGTTTTGCCCAATTTTACGACCTTTCTTGACACAATTGTTAAGTGAATTTTAAGTTGGTAACACGGTTGTTAAGTGAATTTGGCTTCCCCACTGCCTTTGCTTGTCAGGTCATAAAATCTGATCACATGACCTTGGGACACTGCAATCGTCATAAGTATGACTCAGTTGCCACACATCTGAATTCTGATCATGTGATTGTGGGGATGGTGCAATGGTTGCAAGTTTGAAAAACAGTGGTAAATCACTTTTTAAGTGCTGTTGTAACTTTGAATGGTCATTAAATGAACTGTTGTAAGTCGAGGACTGCCTGTATGTATTATTTTGCAGTTTTAATTATTGCACATTACTCTAGAATTTGTTTAAAATGCAATTATAGACAAACTTGTATACAATAAAGTAGATGTAAACTATGAGATGTGTTTGCAGAATCTGATTATCAGGATAAAACAAACATTACTAAAGTTTTGGCCCTTATGTGCATGCACGAAAGCTTGTGACAAACATGCCCAAGAGGAGCACATGCAGGGGAACCATGTGTGAATGTGCATGGCACATGCGGGGTGCGTGTGCACCTGCACAGGGGTAGGATGCATGCAGGGATCCATCCACGCATGTGCAGGGGGCGTGCATAGAGGCTGTACATGCATTGCATGCTTTGGGCACTCGGTCCAGAAAAGGTTAGCCATCACTGGTATAAGATCTCCTGCCTTGAACAGGGGATTGGATTAGAATATCTCTCAGGTCCCTCGGCCCTGTGATTCTATGTTCTATTTTCTCTAAGAGCTGTGGTGGGGCAGTGGTTACATCATGATATTACAGTGCTCAGTTCCTCACTTTTGCCAACACCTATGTTATTAGTCTAACACTAAGCGGGGGGGGGGGGAATCCTAAGAAAAAGATCATAGAAGCACAAATCACTTGGGAACAATGAATACTTTTTTTACAGTCAAAGATCAGTAACTTAAAATAACCTCTAAAACATCTAGAGAATATATATATTCTATATAATTCTGAAAGTATTTATCTTCTTTCCCCCTCTTTATAGCCCAAGAAAATTGGGAGGATTCTTTTCTTAGTCTCTTGCCCCACCCACATTCTTGCTGTGGATTAAGCTGCTTTTATCTGATTATTCTCTTGCTACATCTTGTTGCCTGTCTCAAGATCAATCTCACATACAATTACAGGATGTGCAACATTTGGACATCTGAAGTGTTTTGGAATGACAGAATACACCTTTCAAGACCTCCTCAAACATTTGCTGAAATCCAAAACATCTGAAGGAAGCTTCCTATCTATCTGTGACACCAGCTAAAATCTTCTTTTTAAAGAAATAATGTCCAGGGTATTTTCGCATTTGAAATATTGGTAACCAATATACTACAGCTATCTTAAGTAGAATTCCATTATTGCTTCGATTATTTCATTGGGCATTACTCATGGACACTCAAACTTACCGCACATTTTTCAACTTTCCCAGCATTATTTGCCCATTTTACCAAGGCTAATAATCGGACAAACAGCTGCCGTGTACGACTTGCAAACTGCACTATTTCTATTTTCCTGTAAAAAAAAAAAAGACCACAAAAATTTACTTAGAAACTATGTAGTTAAATTAGTTTGAAAAACAATAAAGATCAAATAAGTTACAACAGCTGTAGAAGGACATATTAGAAAATAATTATGACCAGATAAAATTAATGCTCATCACTGGATTGGGAATGTAGTTGCAGTAAAATACAAGCATTTTAAGTAAATGCATTGCTGGATTAATTCAGTTCAAACTGAATTACAGTATTAATCAACTGTCCCAAAAGATTTCTCTATTATATATAGTTTAAAATATTTACTTTTTATTTTATCTTCCATTTATCTATTTAACTACAATTTTATTGCAAAGTTGAGTTTCGCAAACTGCTTTCAAAAGTAATATCAGTTTGTCAGGTATTCTATAATAAATTGGACCAAGAATTATTTGCCACTAACATCAAAATGTTAGCTGCATCATATATTTATGTTTACATCTTAACCTAAACAATTCTCCTATATAAAAGCAGAAGTATCAAGAAAATAAATACATCAAATCTAGTACCACTACTGCATTAGCTATGCCTGTTTCGTTGAACAGTTTCTGTGTAAAACTGGAATTGTTGTTTCTCTTCATTCTCTGAAGTAAAATCTTCAGGACATAAGACAAAGCTTTTTTCCATAGTGACACCACATTTCTTAAACTAGTTCCCCAGGAGAATTGCTGAACGTTTCATTATTAGTACTATAGTAGAAAACAAACATATTTGCTTTTTTTTGCCAAGATATAAACAGTTTAAACTTTAAACTGCATTTTTCCATTTTCATGATAATACCATTTTAAAGTTTAGATCCTCCTCATCTTGGTTTTTTTTTTAAAAAAAAAATGTATAATATTTTATAATGATATTTTTATTTTAGAGAGTTTCTGGCATAAGTGTCAAATCAATGTTCCTACAGCATTGGAGACACCAATGACATTTACAATTTAATTAAAACATGCCCTAAAATACTAAACTGAAATGTAGGGAACAACTTCAAAACCTAATTATATCAACAAGTATTCACAGTGACATGTCATTAACAACTTTACCTTAACATATACTGATATAGACAACCCTAGTGGAATTTCAGGACAATACAGAAACTTAATACAGAAACTCCTACTACTAATGTAAAAAAGCATATTCTAATTATATCCATAAAGGTATTAGCTAAGAATCAGTACATTGAAAAAATAAAAAATGCCACTAACGTGCAATATACATTCAAAATATATGGGCTGCTTAAACAAGGATTTCATATTAAATTATGAAAATGTACTGTGGAATCAGACATATTCAATCAGAACATGGAATATGAGAAGCATAAATAAAAGAGAACTTGAAATTGTCGAAGCAGAAATATAGCTTATTTGTTTCAGGAATGAGTAATGACAAATGGATTGGAATGAGCTACGATACTTTCATCCCAAACAATTAAACAAAACTCTGTTCCAAGACATGTGACCATTTAGGACAGTGATGGCGAACCTATGACACGCGTGTCAGTGCTGACACGCGTAGCCATTTGGGGTGACACGCACAGGATTTCATGCGATTTAACCTCGGCTCCTGCACGGCCACCGAGGATGTGTTTTCCGATGGTCTTAGGCAACCTCTGTGAAAGGGTCATTCAACCCCCAAAGGGGCCCCGACCCACAG